TACGATCTCGGCAATTTAGCCGACAATCTTCGAGCAGACAACGTAGATTTGAGTTTAACAGCGTATAAACCTCGTGCATTGCTCACGTGTGGTCAGATCATCTAATTAGGTCACGATGTATTTAGAACAGTTGTTATTCAGTCACTGCGGTCATTTACATAAGAATTAGGATTATTATATATATATTTTTTGTATTCATTTAAAGGTCAATAATACAACACAGAAATTTGTCTTATGACGTCACAATTCATTAGTAAAAAAGTATTCAGCCAATACCAGCGATGTCCCCTTTCTCCACACATAAAAAATTAATCACAGTGACGCCTGGGAGTTTGTTTAAGTCGATGCGAATGTGGACAAAAACATGAAATTTTAGAGTCTTTGTGTTTTGTTGTTTTTATTTTCCAGTTAATCTTTACTTTGACAGTTGACGATATTTTCACTTCTTCAGGGGAAATTCAAAACCATTCATTTGACCAGTTTTATTTACCACTATAACAAAATTTCAGTTATTTCTATCCATAAAGCTGACTGACTGGTTGAATCATATTGATCTAAAAGTAGTATTTTTGATGTCAGTGTGGTGAAGTTGTGAACAACTACCGATAGTTTTACCTCAAAAGATATTTTTCGTCGGGCAGATTTGATATCATGATTCTGAAACTGGACTGGACATGAATTTAAAACTACCTCCCTTGGTATATTAATATCTATAAGCAACACATCAAATAGTTTAATGTTACCGAGTTACTTACCATAAACTTGTACTTCACAGAGTTCAAGAAGTGCTGAACTATCGTACCAGGTTTGTCTCAAAGGTGGCTCTCTGTTGTTGTATATCCACACGTACTGTGCTGTACCATAACATTCACTGTGCGTGACATGGCTTTGTATTTGGGATTCACTAGTTGAATTATCAATGAAGCATCGGTCCTGACGACGTCTTTCGGTGGTATTTGACAGATATATCTCATAACCAGCAAACCGGTTCTTCCATCCAGCTGCAATGTTAACAATCATCACTAGAATCACAATCGCTAAGAAATGAAAACATTTAAAGTTGTTCCAGAAATTATATAAAACACAATCAACCAGAAACAGTTGCACCACTTTTCGAGGTATATTGAATATAAGATAATTTTTATATAAATCAAGATATCCATATCTTAGAAATGTCGTGGTTTTGGCAATAGTCACTGTCAAAGGCAAAGCTGAAGTGTATGATTTAGATCAATTCTCTGTTACGAAAATGTGGAAATCCAGTGAACTTTGATATGTCTGGTATATACAACAAAGCCTGGAGAAAATTTACAATCTCTATATTTTATCTAACGAAAACTGATTTGTGTTAGCAGTAATTCGAAGGTGGGTTATGATTATAATTTTTCTTTTAAAAGATATTATCTTTTTCCAGATCTGCTCTTCTCGTTTTCGAAATGTTTGATCCTCATTCTCTGTGAGAAGTCCTAAAGCCATAAAACAGCTGAATGATAAGTTTGTATCTTATCAGCTATACTTAAACTATTCCTTCTTCATTATTGAATGATGCTATCCACTTATCTGAATTTCTTTAAGGTTAATTTTTGTTTTGATATATATTTTGAAAAACATGTTTAAGTAGTAAAGTCATTTAGAATGACGATAAGTTGAGGAAAAGTTCTGGGAGGAAATGGGTATTCACTTGACAGATTTTGTCGACATTTTGTAACATTTCAACAACAAAATTCTTCGTTTTAATGTGTTGAGAAGCGCACCATTCAGTTTGCAAAGTTTTCATTTCTTTCATACCAGAGGAAATGTCACCATTCTCATGATTACAAGCATGACTTCATACTTGATAAACGAGCAATGGTAGTGACTGTCTGACAAATTAAATTTTTGTCTATACAAATGTAAATATTAACAGGTTAATGCTATACAAATATTGACACACGTTGACAAACGGACCTACCCCAATTAAACTCTTCTCTATAGTATATCTCGACCTTTTCTATGACGAAATCACTTTGCAGGTCGACTCTCCACCACACTTCTGTCTGGTTTACTGCTTGATGGGCACATGAATCCTTTCCCAAGGTTTGTATGGTTTTACCGTCCACAGCATTCTTCGACGGGTGTATGACTGTCCCGGCTGGTCTATAGTCACTGCTTTGTGCTGTTGGTTTGTTTTGTGAAATAATCACTACAATGAAGAAGAGGTAACAATGATATTAGCGACACACATCTTATCCTTTACCAATCTAATGTAACAATCACATAATATATGTTGTTTGTATTTTTCAGTGATGTATATCAAGTTTACCACAGATAATGGATACGTGTAATTCAGAGACGGCCACCATGCATGAGACGGTTATTCGAACGTGTATGAAGAGTTAAATATGATTAAGAAATAAGATTTAAGGTGGAACTCTTCTGAAATTCATGAAATCAACGAGGATATCATATCATGACGACATCAACGACGCAACAAACAAATAATTAGATAAATATCTAGATATTTTTTTTATCTAAATCCGAAAATAGGACACCAGTGAACAAACCTTTGTCTACTGCATCATACCACGTGCTTGTAGTATTATTAAGAGCAGTCGGGCATAAATGTTTCAATATTAATCCAGATTGGCTAAATGTAATCAAATTGTGAGCAGTCACAAATCTATTTTTTTAAAGAACATATACGCAAATACTCCGGGTTAATGCAATGACATGTGAATATTAGTTGTTTTAGAAACGGACATATGTATGGCTTATATTTTGTGAAGTGTGAGGGAAAATAGCTGTAATTCGTATTAAAAAGTATGGCTTATAGCAAAATATTCAAACTGATTATTTATGCACACTTGTTCTTAATTTAACTGATTATTTACGTTTTTTATATGTTTCAAATGGATAACCCTATATAAGCTAGTGTCTCGTGTAACCACAGGACTAATGACCATGAAAGAGCACTCAAACCGAAAGTGACTTGTAACATATATTATATGGAACGTGAGTTTGGAAGTCGTGTCTAGTTCCCGTAGTCAAGCCTGTCATTTCTGGACACCTCTCGGGAAAACTAAAATCCATGCTACATATTAGCGGTGGCATATTTTAATAATTACGTCAGGTGGAATTTATATAAATTGTTCAATTATTGATTTCATATACGAATCATTTAAATGGTACAGTATGAAGATTGAAGTCCATGTGACCAATATTATCGTAGAGTATGTATACGCCCAAAATCAGCATCCTCTCAGCCAAATATGAATTACCGTATAATTGTGGCACATATCTGATAAAAGATTACAATTATCAGTGCTCTTCCCTAAAAGATTACAATTATCAGTGATCTTCCCTTTTTAGCTCACCTGGCCCGACGGGCCAAGTGAGCTTGTGCCGTGGTGCAGAGTTCGTTGTTCCGCCGTCCGTCTAACGTCACCTTTTCCGTTAAAAGATGAAGCCCGACAACTATTCAAAATTAACAGGCGTGATCAGTTTGAGTTGAAATAACTTTCGCAATTGTTGTAATATAAAGTTTATGTTTATTTATAGAGGTCAACTTTGCTAAAAAATTGATAAACTTCTGACTAATCAAAAGCTGCAGAGACATGGCATCTAACTGATAGGTTCCTAGGATGAAGCCCGACAAAATCTGCGAAAAGAAATTACCATGACCTTTATTCAAAGTCACAGGGGTCAGATTTGTTAACGCTTTAAAATAACTTCTTCTGACAAACAAAAAGGCGCAGAAATATGGTATTTGGCTGATACGTTTCTAGAATGAAGTCCGACAAATTTTGCAAAAAAGGAATGACAATGACCCTTTTTACAAGGTCACAGAAGTTTAACTTGTTAAAACCTTTAATCAACTTCTTATGACTAACCAAAAAGCCCAGAAAGTATGATATTTGGTCACAGGGGTCAAATTTCAAAGCCTGTTAAAGACTTCTTCTGGAAAAGCAGGATATTTGGTGACAAAGTGTTTTTATGTCAAAGTCCAACACATTTCGAGAAAAAAAGTTACATTTACCTATAAGAGAAGTTATAATTGTCACTATTTAGTGTTGAGTATAAGAAACTGTTTATTGTGGATATAGGTTAAAATTGATGAGATGTGTCCGATTATTAGGCCAATGGTGTACGTGTAATTTTTTTTTATGAACATTGAATACCAGGTTAGCGATAAAGGCCCGGTGGGCCTCTTATTTGTTTACATGAATATGACCTTTACCAGGAAATCATTTTAGGTTACATGAAGAGTGTCGATAAGGAGCTAATGACATCATACCTACACTATCTTGAAACATTTTATGGAGTGTTAACTTCTCTGTCACAAGTTCAATTATCAGGAAATAGCTTTATATACAACTGTATTACAAAATAACATTTTATTAAAGTATCAATTTGTTTTCATTTAAACTGTCATTATTTTTAAGACCTAATCTCCATTTCTTCATTTAAAGGGACTAAATAACTAGATTGCGTTATTTTTTCCCGGGCGTTTGATTTCAGGTAAGCATTGTAGTACTTAAAATTAGACTCTTCAAAAATTATAACACTCTCTGAGAGAAAATGATAAAGATCATCACCTACAAACTAACGCTAGTCGACACTCGCTGTTGTGTCTACCATCCATCGCTGTTTTGATCGGAGATAGCCGAGTTTATCACGTGACCTTTCGGAGCCTCATTTTAACCAGCCATTTTGATATGATTTCTTACAATGTATAATTAGGTAATTAGCCAGAACTTAATTTGCCAGCCATGTTTCAATTCTTACTTTGGTAAGATGACATCTTGTTTCATACTACACGAGTGACAATGCGAAATAAATAAATTCGAATTAATTTTAATCTAAAACTGCATGCGCAAAAACATTGTTACACTCTCCGAATGATAATGATATGAATAAGTGTTTGGTCGCTCCTTTTTATATTGAATTTTTGACGTTGTTAATAAAAACATTAGGAAAATACTAACATGGCAATATAATTATGATTCAAACACTAGATGTAAAATATGAACAAAAGAAGGATTTACACGGGATTCCTGAAAAAAATGCAAGATGAACTAGAAATTGTTGTTAACAATTTGGCGGGCTTTTCACTTCTTTGGCGACAAGTTGACCGGAAGTTGACATTTATCCTGATAACGATATATGAGAAAGGTTCCATAATTGTTAGTCCATACACCATATCCAAAGATGAACTTTGAATCTTGAAACGTTAAGGAGATATAACTACATAATAACGAAGAAATACACTTTTTAAAGGTTCAAACATATTTGACCCCTGTGACCTTGAATGTCGGTCAAGGTTATTCATATTTGCAAGCCTTATAATGTAACATCTGATGATCAATATATTCCCAATATTAGTTCTCTAGACCTTGTGAAACTTGACAAGAAAATTGTTGAACACTGGTACCCTATATTGTATATTTGAACTTTGACCCCTTTATGAAACCGGAAGTTAACATTTTGAGGGAAGTTTTCCTTATGACAATCACTAGGAAGTCTGCACAGAAGGTTAATAATCAATTTTCATCATTGTATGCCTTCTAGAAATTGAGAAACTTTCATTTAACGATTTTTAGTAAATTGACATCTGTGACCTTGAAAGTTGGTCAAGGTCATTTATATTATCAAACTTTGTTTTCAGTTACATATCCTTCTTGTATATGAAATATCAAGCCTCTAGGCCTTCCAGAACTTTAGAAGAAGTTTTTCAAAGATTGGTACCGTAAATAGCTCTTTCCGAATTTGTGTCCTACCGAAAACCGGAAGTTGAACTTTTAGGGAAGTTTTTCTTATGACAATCAATAGGAAGTGTCCACAGAAGGTTTATAATCAATTTTCATCTTTGTGTGCCTTCTAGAATGTGAGAAACTGTCGTTTAACGATTTTTAGTTAATTGACATCTGTGACCTTGAAAGTGGGTCAAGGTCATTTATATTATCAAACTTCGTTGACAGTTACATATGCTTCATATGTGTGAAATATAGAGCCTCTAGGCCTTTCAGAACTTGAGAAGAAGTTTTTCAAAGATTGGTAACCTTAATAGCAATTTTCAACTTTGACCACCTACCGCAAACCGGAAGTTGAATTTTAAGGTACGTTTCTCTTATATCACTCGACAGGAAATGTCCACAGAATATTTATGTCCAAAGTTGAAGACTTTGGGCAGCTTAACAATGGAGAAATTACCATTTAACGATTTTTACATAATTGACCCATGTGACCTTGAAAGTGGGTCAAGGTCATTTATATTAACAAACTTGATAGATAATTGATCAGACATCTTACACATAAAATATCAAGACTCAAGGCTTTGCAGAACTTGAGAAGAAGTTTGTCAAAGTTTGTAACTTAAAATAACACTTTTGAACTTTGACCCCTACCGAAGACCGGAAGTTGACCTTTGATCCAAGATTTTTTCTTGTGAAAAGTGTTTTCTTAGTTCTTGAGTTACGGCATTTTAGGTAAAATCGGATATGACGTCATGGCGGCCATTTTGTTTTTCCGATGAATTTGAATATGTCACTAAATGGTAGAAGACATCTGGGGAAATCTTCTCAGTAACAATTTGATAAAATATAGCCCATCAATATTGATCTAGATCGAGTTTTTCCAAATTGTCGGCATTTTTAAAAGATCAGAGGAAATTTTCAAAATGGCCTACAACGGAAGTGGTAAACGTTACAGAAAAACTAAAATCACTAAATTCATCGGAAGGACATTCTGCATCGATGTGTTAAAGAAATTTTCAAGAAAAATTAAAAATTGAAAAAAAGAATTTTGTTTTCAAATTTTCAAATATTGACCCCACAGTGAGCTTTTTTATTAGACACATTTTGTATTATAATGGCATGGGAAAAAGTTAGATAAGGAAATTGTCTACAAATAACATAATTGGACGAACTCTGTACACTCAACGGTTTTCGAGTTACGGCCGTTTTAAAGTTTTTAACTTATGACGTCATAGCGGCCATATTGGATTTTTGACCTACTTAAAAAATCTGCATCGTCACCTTCCAGTATGTACCTATAACTTAGTCAATACATATTAGGTGTGGTCTTTACCGTTTAAAAGATTACGAACCCACAAAGTTAGGAAGAAAAATAATAATAAGAAGAAGAGGAAACATAACAAAAACAATAGGTCTTTTCACCAAATGGTGAAAAGCCCTAATAAGACCAGGTGTTCCGGAAGAGTAAGCGTCTTCTGCTTAAATCGACGACACCTGCTATGTAAACCTTGGTCAATCCAAGTAAGTAAGGTCATGTTCTCAAAACAACGGAACCAACAGGCAAACTAACGAGCAACAAATACGTCCAGTTTCATGGTTATGCAAACATTAAGATATCATAATTAACAGAAAGTACACCATTTTTAACGAACATTTAGATATTATAATGCATTTTATCATTATGAAATTAATATCTAATCGTTCAGTTCCTTTAAATATGATTATATTCGTCTTACTCCTTCCTTCGATAACCATTTGCCCGTTTTGTAAATATAGGGTGAAAATCATGTGTGCATGTTGGTGTTGTCGTCGTCGTCGTCGTTGTCGTCGTCGTCGTTGTTACTTAACAGACTTATCATATTGTTTTTGTAAAATCTAATGTTGCCGATCTGAATGTCAACTTGAACATACAGTTAAGTGTAGACTAATCATTAAACCTAGTGCACTTGTAGTGCACATGATAAAGACTAGGTTTAGACGAGGTTGAGACTACTGGTAAACTATTTGTGCACTAGACCTGGTTCAGGTGATGGAGCTATCTCCTTCATTGTAGGTAATGTACAGTGCCTATGGTTATCCGTGATTTTTACCTATGTGGTGTCTAGTCCTTAACCGTATACCTATCCGACTTCCTACAGTTGTGTCAATGATCTTGTTATAACTAAAATGTAAATTCTTATTCATTTCAAAATTTTAAATGAAATTGAAATGACGATTAATACATTAAACACAGACTTAATAGGAATAAATCATTAGTGATGAATGAAAGCCACCCTGTTTTGAGGAGAGATGATATAATTTACAGAGTTTACATTGTCAGGAAATTGATAAATTGAAAGCATTATCTACTGGAAAAGCGAATTTTATTCTTAAATGATTTGATTTAAAATTTAAGTAAATAAAAACTTCTTATAATATGTAATTGTGTTATGGTCAACTGTTTATGTTTAGAAATAGAAACATGTACTTAATTATAGTACCAATTTTAGATAGAAGTCTTTTATTTCAATACATTGTGAATATAATTAATTTGATATATGATGTTACAGCTAGATACGTTAACTGATATAGATCTCTACATTTGGAGGAGGGATGTGCTACAGGTAAAATCGGTATTAGCCTTTTCAAGTCACTAAAGTAGATACACCTCAATAGGTTTAAATGATGCATTAATGACAGTCGGAATCAAACTTCTGTATCTAAATTACATTATGTACATCAAACCTTATATAGTGAAACGATATGTTTCGTCATTAGAGATGGATCCAGGTAAAGTAATTAGCCAATGATACATTAATGAATGAAAGAAACTGGCCAGGTGTTGAAAGACATCTGAAAATTATCTATGTGTGTGAGGTGACACCCCATGATGACTGTAATTGGATGTCTTTCGCCTAGAATCCACAGGAGGGCTAACACACAATGATATGGTCCGGTGTAGAATGAGAAAGTGAAGCCCATGGTAAAGTGGACCGCGGTTCATTTCATCATTACGGTGCATTACACTATTTTCTTCCATGTTATTTTTTTTCACCAGTTGTTTACTAATCACCATGATTCAATCAGGTAAACAAGTAAATAATGAAAAATAAGTCTGGGGAGGGGAAATTGGGATGGGGCAGTTGGGTTCACTTTACCGTGACCATTCTTGTGAACTAGAATTCTTTTCCTCTTGCACTAGAAGTGACTAGGGTGTAAAGATTAGTCTGCACTTAACGGTACGTTTCGTTGATTGTTATCCACATATAATCATAGGATTCACATGTCTAGATATTTATTTAAGACGTCAGTAAAATGTATTAATAGAACTAACTTCTGTATGTAAACAACAAATAAATTACAGGTTGATTTCTAGAATGAATTCATTTAGATAATGAGATGCCCGTCAATCATTTAAACACAGTAAAACATGTCAAGAAATAGTGAATGAAAAGGTCAAACTTTACCTGACGTGTCGACATTCCGGAGGATACATAGCAGAGTAAGGAGACAGTGTGAACGTCGAGCCATTCAAAATGGTAGTACTCTGTATGGAACAGCTATCAAAAGAATGTCATTTTAAAACATGACGGTCAGGGAACACTGCGACTCAGAATACAAGGAACTTTTAGATTCATACTAGGAAGTAAAATGAATGACGGGACAGCTCATTGTGTAAGTACGTGTAACACAGTTACATGTACACACACGAGCTATGTGTATAGACAAATAAATCAGTATTGTACCCTCTCAGCATACATATACAAACGCTAAAATTAAACAAACAAACAAACAAAGAAACCTCGCTTGCTTGAATTATTTAAGTTACCATTACTGGCTAAGAAAAATGATGTAGATGAATGTATTCATATATTTAAGTCAAACGACTGACATAACACAGTTTTTACTTCAGGTAGCACCTAGAAAGACAGTTATGTTGGCGGCCTCCAGCGATTGTCTTTACGTATGTGTGTAAAGGATTAGGTGTATTCTAGAAAACAATATACGTATGTTCTTGGAAGATATTTCGCAACATCAAAAGAACTACTATTTGAAAGTCTCATTATTTCGGGACCAATATTGCCATATTAAGATATATGCTAAAGATCGTTAAAAGACAAAAAAAATTTACTACCTTTTAATGCAATTTATAAATGGGAACATGAGAGCAAAGTAATGAATTAAACTGCATCATACAGCTGGTTTGAACTTCTTGGACTCGTCAGTAATACTACATCTTACAGCTGGTTTGAACTTCTTGGACTCGTCAGTAATACTACATCTTACAGCTGGTTTGAACTTCTTGGACTCGTCAGTAATACTACATCTTACAGATGGTTTGTACTTCTTGGACTCGTCAGTAATACTACATCATACAGCTGGTCTGTACTTCTTGGACTCGTCAGTGATGATACATGCTAAATGTTGGCAGTATAGTCTGGAGATGTAAACAATATAGATTGGAGATGTAAACAGTATAGATTGGAGATGTAAACAGTATAAACTGGAGATGTAAACAATATAGATTGGAAATGTAAACAATATAGATTGCAGATGTAAACAATATAGATTGCAGATGTAAACAGTATAAACTGGAGATGTAAACAATATAGATTGGAAATGTAAACAATACAGACTGGATATGTAAACAATATAGATTGGAGATGTAAACAATATAGATTGGAGATGTAAACAGTATAGATTGGAGTGATGTAAACAGTATAAACTGGAGATGTAAACAATATAGATTGGAAATGTAAACAATATAGACTGGATATGTAAACAATATAGATTGGAGATGTAAACAATATAGACTGGATATGTAAACAATATAGATTGGAGATGTAAACAATATAGATTGCAGATGTAAACAATATAGATTGCAGATGTAAACAATATAGATTGCAGATATAAACAGCATAAACTGGAGATGTAAACATTTGAATTCGAATAAGCTTCGATAGAAACTTCGCAGACATTGCTCACTTTATTTTCTAGATTCAGCGCTTACAAATAGTTGAGGTCACATATATACATATATATTATGATAAGACAGGTTTCCTGTCTGTGTTTTATGTAGCTGACTTTTTGTTACATTACGCCGAATGAACAGGACGGAAAGACCTGAAGTGAAAGCTGGTTTGTCTGGTGTGAAATAAGAGTTAAGATACGATAACCCAAGCACCATTAACATCACGAGTGACGCGGCCGACAAACGATGAAAACTAAACTGAATGTTGAACAGTAATTGTTATGGTAAATAAAGCTTAATTTTAATGATGGGAACTGTCAGGAGACTGAACATTTCGTTGACAGAAGTAGAGCATGTGTAGTTAAACGATTGTACAGTTAATACCCAAAAGTATTCAATATAAAAGGAAACTAAAAAAAACAACACAGGAGAGCGTTCTCTAGTGACTTCCTGGTCCCAGTCACTCAAAGCTTAGAATAAATTACTGGTTAGTTACAATTTTCAGATAAGAATTTTACAGCTGCAGAGTTGTATAAGACAAGTGATATTGATGTATTTTTTTTGTTCACTAACCACATGCTGATTCTAGCCAACCTTTTGAGCAATCTGTGGTCAAGTTGTCAGTCTTTGTTAAAAGCACAAGGAGTCATCCAACTTTGGAAAGTTAAACGGCAACCGTGCACTCTTTATTCCCCACCACTACCCCATCTACACCTCCAACCCCATCCCACCTACAATTCCATCCCCACCCCATTACACCTCCATCCCACCCAATCAACACCTCCACCCCAACCCCACCTACAACTCCAACCCCACCCAATCAACACCTCTATTTCCGCCCCACCTTAACCTCCAACCCCACCCTATCTACACCTTCATCCCAATCCCATCCCCATCTCCACCCAAATCCATCTCCACCTCCATCCCCATTCAATCTCCTCTTCCACCTTCATTCCTTCTCCTCCTCCAACGCCAACCCCATTAACAAATCCAAACAAACCCCATCTACACCTCAATCCCCATCTCCACAACCACACCATCTACACCTCCAGCCCTATCCCCACTCTACCCCATCCCACCTACACCTCTATCCACACCTAATCTACACCCCCGCCCCACCTACACCTCCAACCCCACCCCATCTACACCTCCAACCCCACCCCACCTACAACTCTAACTCAACTCCATCTCCACCTCCAGCCCCAACCCATTTCCACCTCCAACCCCACCCCATCCCCACCTCCACCCCACCCTATCTCTACCTCCACCTCCATTTCATCTCCATCTCCATCTCCAATCCCACCGCATCCCATCTCCAACTCCACTCCATTCCATCTCACCACCCCCCACACACTTCTCCACCTCAAACGCCCACCACATTCACACCTCCAAACAATCCCCATCTACATCTACATCCCCACTCAATCTTCTACTCCAATCCCTAACAATATCTACACCTCAACCTCATCTCCACAACCACACCATCTACACCTCCAGCCCTATCCCCTCTCCACCCAATCCCACCTACACCTTCATCCCCATCCCATCTACACCTCTAACTGAAATCCATCTTTACCTCCAGCCCCAACCCATTTCCACCTCCAACCCCATCCCATCCCCACCTCCACCCCACCCTATCTCTACCTCCACCCCCATTCCATCTCTATCTCCATTCCCACCTCATCCCATCTCCACCTCCACCCCCATTCCATCTACACCTCCAACCCCTAACCCCGTCTCCACCTCCACCCTCACCCCATCTCCAACTCCACCCCCCATTCCATTTCAACCTCCAACCCATCTACACCTCCAAACCCATCGACTCTACACCTCCAAACCAACCCTATCTACACTTCTACCTCCATCCATCTGTATCTCCAACCCCTAACCCCGTCTTTACCTTCACACCTAACTCCACCTTAGCTCCACTTCCACCCTATCCACCCCATGCTATCTCCAGCTCCACTTAATCTACTACTCCAACCCCTCTTACCCCATCTACACCTTAACCCCATCTCCACAACCACACCATCTACACTTCCAGCCCTATCCCCTCTCCACCCCATCTACAACTCAACCCCATCTCCACAACCACACCATCTACACCTCCAACCCCACCCAATCTACACCTCCAACCCCATCCCATCTACAGCTCTACTCCCGCCCCACCTACACCTCCAGCCCCAACACATCTCCACATCCAACCCCATTCCTTCTCTGTCTCTGATTGAGTGAATTTATTGTTACAAAGATAAATCTGTGTGATGATTGAAGTAAGAAAATGGATGAATCTGTGTGATGATTGAGATAGGAAATTTATTGCAACTCGGCTAAAGGTCAGACATTTTTAAGAGGAGACATCGAAGTGTTACTTTGTTTGTCAAATTTGATAATGCTCTTTCTAGAATGCAAAGAGAATAAACATGAGGACATGGTGATAAAGATGAACATTTGACAATAATGTAACTGACGGTTGTAGACATTTAACATGTGAAAATTCAGGATAAACACGTTCTGTCCACTCATATTGTCCTTACTGTACAGGATGACCCAATCAACAAATTTTGAATCATATCGGTGCAAAACCATAGACAACACTCAAGTTTTAGTGATATGATATTCTAAACAAACTTTAACATTCTGATTCATACTATGTCATAATCTGGATTTCTGTTGATTGAGGAAGTATTTAAAATATACATATGTCTTCAATTCATTTCAAGTGTGAGAGATCATCCATGATATCTCCGCGCCGGATATCACTTACTTAATAGTGTGTCATATCAATTAGATATATCATTGATACAATATATATATATATATATATCAAAGCAATGAACACAGTTTTGAGTTATTACATGATAATTCGGAACTTTATTTGTCAACTTTTCGATTCATTATTCATGTTGCATCAATTCAGAAATTGGAAATCGTGTTTAATAAAGAGGTAAACTCCATCATTTTTTTATTACCTGATGTTATCATGTTAATATTTATACAACAACACATAGGGACTGAATAGCTAGACAACAGTGATATCGTGAGAACAAGTCAACAACTAAAATAAAAATAAGATTGCTAGTGCAGCATTTCTAGGTGAATTTACATAAGAGACAAGGTCACTGTGAAACATCCACTATCCGTGAGATATTGTAAAACATAAAATACCCTGATAATATTAATCAGGCAGGACTTACTTACTTTTAAGATTTTTTTAAATTGACACTAACTACAGGTTAACAGACATCTGTATACAACTAGGACTTACTGTAAGTATAACATACATTTGAACACTGACATTACTGACATGGGTATATCAGACACCGGTATATACAAACTAAACTAACCTCGGATATGACAGACACTGTTATATACAAACTGATACTAACCTCGAATATGACAGACACCGGTATATACAGACTGATACTAACCTCAAATGTGACAGACACCGGTATATACAAACTGGCACTGACCTCGGGTGTGACAGACACCGGTATATACAAACTGGCACTGACCTCGGGTGTGACAGACACCGGTATATACAAACTGGCACTGACCTCGGGTGTGACAGACACCGGTATATACAAACTGGCACTGACCTCGGGTGTGACAGACACCGGTATATACAAACTGATACTAACCTCAAATATGACAGACACCGGTATATACAAACTGGCACTGACCTCGGGTGTGACAGACACCGGTATATACAAACTGGCACTGACCTCGGGTGTGAAAGACACCGGTATATACAAACTGATACTAACCTCAAATATGACAGACACCGGTATATACAAACTGATACTAACCTCAAATATGACAGACACCGGTATATACAAACTGGCACTGACCTCGGGTGTGACAGACACCGGTATATACAAACTGGCACTGACCTCGGGTGTGACAGACACCGGTATATACAAACTGATACTAACCTCAAATATGACAGACACCGGTATATACAAACTGGCACTGACCTCGGGTGTGACAGACACCGGTATATACAAACTGGCACTGACCTCGGGTGTGAAAGACACCGGTATATACAAACTGATACTAACCTCGGGTGTGACAGACACCGGTATATACAAACTGATACTCACCTCACATCTGACAGACACCGGTATATACAAACTGGCACTGACCTCGGGTGTGACAGACACCGGTATATACAAACTGGCAGTTCACTCAAATATGACAGACACCGGTATATACAAACTGTATATACAAACTGGCACTGACCTCGGGTGTGACAGACACCGGTATATACAAACTGGCACTGACCTCGGGTGTGACAGACACCGGTATATACAAACTGGCACTGACCTCGGGTGTGACAGACACCGGTATATACAAACTGGCACTGACCTCGGGTGTGAAAGACACCGGTATATACAAACTGATACTAACCTCAAATATGACAGACACCGGTATATACAAACTGGCACTGACCTCGGGTGTGACAGACACCGGTATATACAAACTGGCACTGACCTCGGGTGTGACAGACACCGGTATATACAAACTGGCACTGACCTCGGGTGTGACAGACACCGGTATATACAAACTGGCACTGACCTCGGGTGTGACAGACACCGGTATATACAAACTGATACTAACCTCAAATATGACAGACACCGGTATATACAAACTGGCACTGACCTCGGGTGTGACAGACACCGGTATATACAAACTGGCACTGACCTCGAGTGTGACAGACACCGGTATATACAAACTGATACTAACCTCAAATATGACAGACACCGGTATATACAAACTGGCACTGACCTCGGGTGTGACAGACACCGGTATATACAAACTGGCACTGACCTCGGGTGTGACAGACACCGGTATATACAAACTGGCACTGACCTCGGGTGTGACAGACACCGGTATATACAAACTGGCACTGACCTCGGGTGTGACAGACACCGGTATATACAAACTGGCACTGACCTCGGGTGTGACAGACACCGGTATATACAAACTGGCACTGACCTCGGGTGTGACAGACACCGGTATATACAAACTGGCCTCAAATATGACAGACACCGGTATATACAAACTGGCACTGACCTCGGGTGTGACAGACACCGGTATATACAAACTGGCACTGACCTCGGGTGTGACAGACACCGGTATATACAAACTGGCACTGACCTCGGGTGTGACAGACACCGGTATATACAAACTGGCACTGACCTCGGGTGTGACAGAACCCGGTATATACAAACTGGCACTGACCTCGGGTGTGACAGATTACATTGTAGTATATTAGATATCTAAATTCTATATAAAAAAACAAGCTTAGGTGTTTATTAGAATAATTATCTTTGGTCAGACTTGTATAATTTAGAGGCTTTCCCTTTGAGATAATTAGGTTATCATATTAATCGAAGACAAATAGAAAATATGTCACCATTAGACTGTGTTCCATAAACATTGTTTCATATATGCTGCGTATCGTTATTTCATATCTAACAATACCAAAATGACATTCTATGTATCAGATTCGATAGATTTGCTTGATATCGTCTTTGTAATGATGAATTTATGTATTGAGCAATCGTAAGTATCCCATACAATATATTCTAAAAGTTATCTGACTCAAGTAATGGGTCACGATTACAGCTCGTCAATTGCAATGTTTATATAAAAATGCCCCAGTTGGATAAACACATTGCCTTATTCAGTAGACCAATACAGACCTTGCAACACCAGCTAGTACGACGTTATGAAACCTTTTTGTGTGTATTGATTCAGATATGAAACCGTTAAGTGAAGAATGCTATCACTATCAATATTATGAGTTTTCGAACGGATCAGTGTGTCGGAGTATCACAAATGTGTATCAGTGTGTCGGGGTATCAGACATGTGTATCAGTGTGTCAGAGTATCAGACTTGTGTATCAGTGTGTCGGAGTATCACAAATGTGTATCAGAGTGTCGGGGTATCAGACATGTGTATCAGTGTGTCGGGGTATCAGACATGTGCATCAGTGTGTCGGAGTATCACAAATGTGTATCAGTGTGTCGGGGTATCAGACATGTGTATCAGTGTGTCGGAGTATCAGACATGTGTATCAGTGTGTCGGGGTATCAGACATGTGTATCAGTGTGTCGGAGTATCAGACATGTGTATCAGTGTGTCGGAGTATCAGACATGTGTATCAGTGTGTCGGGGTATCAGACATGTGTATCAGTGTGTCGGGGTATCAGACATGTGTATCAGTGTGTCGGGGTATCAGAATGTGTATCAGTGTGTCGGGGTATCAGAATGTGTATCAGTGTGTCGGAGTATCAGACATGTGTATCAGTGTGTCGGGGTATCAGAATGTGTATCAGTGTGTCGGGGTATCAGACATGTGTATCAGTGTATCAGAGTATCAGACATGTGTATCAGTGTGTCAGAGTATCAGACATGTGTATCAGTGTGTCGGGGTATCAGACATGTGTATCAGTGTGTCTGGGTATCAGACATGTGTATCAGTGTGTCGGGGTATCAGACATGTGTATCAGTGTGTCGGGGTATCAGACATGTGTTTCAGTGTGTCTGGGTATCAGACATGTGTATCAGTGTATCAGAGTATCAGACATGTGTATCAGTGTGTCGGAGTATCAGACATGTGTATCAGTGTGTCGGGGTATCAGACATGTGTATCAGTGTGTCGGGGTATCAGAATGTGTATCAGTGTGTCGGGGTATCAGACATGTGTATCAGTGTGTCAGAGTATCAGACATGTGTATCAGTGTGTCAGAGTATCAGACATGTGTATCAGTGTGTCGGGGTATCAGACATGTATATCAGTGTGTCTGGGTATCAGACATGTGTATCAGTGTGTCTGGGTATCAGACATGTGTATCAGTGTGTCGGAGTATCAGACATGT